TTATCTTTACAAGGCTTACGATGGGCAAGTCACTTGTAAAAACCAAAATTGTTATTTGGGTCTTCAGTGCCATTGCCAGAGCCTCGATGGGGGGGTTAACAATTTTACCAAAGTTGAATGTAATTAACCATTGTTTAATTTCAAAATTATCCTTAGTGTCTAAGCATTGCCGACGATGGGCCGTACAATACTTTACTAAAATTTTGAAATTATTAAGATTTATTCTAGTGAAATCTGATTATCCTTATCCGATGGGGCTTCAGCGATAACCATTTCACTAATAAACCCACAAATGGAGCCCGCAGGTTTTAAAATTAATTAATTTTTAAAACCTTCACCCATTCAACATTTTTGTTTGAGAATTTTCATAAGCCCTGTCGAATTCATTGTTTAATTTCAAAATTATCTTTAATAACTTAGTATTATCGACGATGGGCCGTACAATACTTTATTAAAATTTTGAAATTATTAAGGCCCGATAAAATCCAATCATGCTAATCCGTTGGGGCCTCACATGATTATTTTATTGATAGGCCCACAATGCGCCTGGAGGTTAAATTAATTTCTTAATTTAAATCTCCTCCCATAATTATTTAGGTCCAATCTAATAAAATTCAATCATGCTTATTCGATGGGACTTCACATGATTATTTTATTAATGGTCCTTATAATGCGCTTGAAGGTTAAATTAATCTCTTAATTTAAATCTCCTTCCATTCAACATAAGCAACATTTTCTAATTTCCAAGAATTATTTAATTGAGAGTATCCTTTGTTTGATTTTAAAAACTATATAAGTAAGAGCACCGATAAACGTGCACTAAGCTTAACATAATTTTGAAAGCATTAAGGTCCTGAAATCCGGTCACTTTACGTCAGCGTGTGCTCCAAACAATCATGATACATGAATGTTGTATGCAGCGTGTGTTATTCCATGACCATTTCAGAAAAACCCACAAATTACTCACAAAATAAAAGAATTCTCTCAGAAAATTTTCTCTAATTATTTTTCTAGATTTAAATCATCCAAATAGCTGACTTAATTATTAATCTAGATTGCAACAATCATAATAATTATCATTTATGAGGATAATTTGAAATCAAAGTAATTTCCATAACGATTATTTGTCTTGATGTTAATAATCCAAAATTAATTAATTCAATTATTAATCTAGATTTTTAATAAAAATCATAATAATTATTAATTAATTTCTTAGGATGATTTAAAATCAAAATAATCCTATAATAACTATCATACTAGTCGCTGAAGACATAATAGCTATTATGCTCATGCAATCATACAAGTTATGCAACAATATGGCACCACCTATTCTATATGGCATGTTATCGCAATAAAGCATGTTATCTATCATATAATTTATACCAATCAATAAAAGCATTAAATAATAAAATCTAATTACTTTAATCCATGGCCTTCCTATTTTAAAGAAAATAAAATAAAATAAAATAAAATAATACAACTTTGGAATTCGACTTTCGCCTAGCCCATAGTATCTGTCTCAAGCCCCTTTAGGGTTTCATGGGCCCAAAATCCCAAAGACCCAATCCTTTGGCGAGAAACCCTAGGACGCGAAAGAGGAACCCTAGCCGTCAGGTCTGCCGCGCCGTCACCCGAAGTCAAATCAGGCTGAAACTCCAGGGGAAGGACCGCCACGTAGAGACGAGTGCACCGCCGCCGGAACCACCCAAAAAGGTGGCCGGACGCTCTCTCACTCTTCCATTCTTTGCCGGAGAGTGGCGGCCACTCTCAGAATCTTGTGGAGGCGCGTGGAGGCGCGTGTAATCTCAGATGGAGGTAAGCCACCCACCGTTGCGTTCGTCTTTCCGTCCTCTTTCCAACCATATATAGATCGCCTCATTCCGAGATCGGGAAGACCTCGAAAAGTCTCCGAAAGTTCTGACTGCGCATCTTACTCGCGGTTTCTCGATCTTGAACTTTTACAAAATATTTGAAAAATACACAGAAATTCCAAAAATAAACAAAAACAGCAAGGAGGAAACCTAATCATATGGGATTAGCCTCCTTGTTACAAATCGAGAAATACACGAGAGATCCTAACCATGGATTAAAGCATTTTTACCGATTAAAATTTAAACTTTTATGAAAATGAATTATAAAATACACATGCTAGATTCATACCATAATCCTAGAACCCTAGGTGCCACATTTCAAGAAGCAAAACTAATTACATGAATAGTGAAACTAGATTCACATACCAATGTACAGCCAAGGCTCTGATACCAATTGAAGGAAATCTTAGATTTATGCGGAAGCGGTTTAGGACCTAGTACATTGGTATGCTTACCGAATCATCCTTGTTTCACAATTACCTCTCGGTGCGCAGGTCTCGTGTAGAATCTTCCCTTGTAGGATTCCTCTTCACGAACAGCTCACCTCAGCGTCGCAGCACGAACAACCTCCTTGAAGCTGGACTGTGGAAGATCTTCCAAACTATCTCTCGAGGAGGAAGGGGAAGTGTGTGGGCACTGATTAGATTCTGAGCTTGCCTCTTTCTCACAAAAAAGACCTCTGGAGGCTAATGACTTAAGAGGTACTATTTATATGGATTCCAAGAAACCCTAGCTCATTGGGCTCTAGGTTCCTTGGGCTCTTCTCATACTAATAACCCATTTGGGCTTTAGTAAAAGAGCAAACCCAACACAAACACATGCTTTTACCCATATTCAGTTTTCTGATTTCAAATGAGCTACAATTATTTAGTAAAATTATTCATTTTAATTGATATCTTTTAACTACTCCCCCACCCAAAGCACAAGTTGGGTGAAAGAAAATGTTGTAGTAGTGAAGGTTCTCCTAGGAAAGAAAAACTTCAAGTAAATCACATGGACAATAATTAACATAATCTAAAAAATAAACTAAGAAAGTCTATTAAATAAAACATTATTTAAGTGATAAACTCGAACGGGATGTTTGGATTAAACTGATGTGCATAAAAAACTAACAAAATTGAATGATTTGGTCGGTTATAATTAATATATTAAATTAGGAAACAATTTCATAAAATTTAGGTTTTTTATACTAAGGGATATATTTTTATGTAACGGGAGAAAGGTATATCACCTTCTCTTTTAAGAAAGATATATTTATTACAAAAAAAAGTTTATCACTTTTACGATCAATTTAATCATTGTTGATTTTCGTCTATCTAACGGTTATAATTTATTAGAAATTATTAGGTGGCATTTATTAATTAATTATTAATTTTCAATAATTATAACCGTTAAATTGATGGAAATCAACGATGATTAGGTTGGTCGTAAAGATAGTAAACTTTTTTGGTGGAAAATATATCATGCCCCTATCTTTTATAAGTTTGTTTTTTCTTCGGTTACTGCAGATAAATTATTTGCAGTATGCCCAATACGACGTTGTTTTGGAACGAAAATTATGGTATTTTTGTAACTTTAATTTATTTCAGGGTTATTATAGTCTTTATAATTATAATTTTTTAATCTTTCAATCCAAAACGACGTCGTTTTGGGAGTAAATGCAGATAACTTATCTGTATTAACTGAAATATTTTTCTGATCTTTTATACTATATTTTGCCAAAATCTTTTTTTTAAAGTCTCATTAATTTTTAGGGTTCGCTTTTTCTGAAGTTATTACATATAAGTTATCTGCAGTAAGCTCAATACGACGTCGTTTTGGGGCGGAAATCATGATATTTTTGTAATTTTAATTTATTTCAGGGTTATAGTAGTCGTTATATTTAAATTTTTTAAGATTTCAATACCAAAATGACGTCGTTTCGAGAACAAATGCAGATAACTTATCTGCAGTAACTGCTGAAATTTTTTTCCTTATTTTTATGATATTTTAAATTTTAAGTAGAAATTAATTAACATTATAAATAAAGGAATAGGTTATTCTGCCTACTCTTATTTTGTCTAACTTTATCTACCTCTCTTGACACCGTTAGATTACAATCTCATCCAATGATGGAGATTTGCCGAATAAAATAAACTATTTTTCTCTTTCTTTCTCCTTACTACCTCTCACTAGAGGTGGCAAAGTGGGCGGCCCGCCCCGCCCCGCCCCGCCATCAATCCGCCAAAAAATGAGCCAGCCCGTCTCGCTTTTGGAAGCGGGCTGAAAAACTCGGTCCGAACTCAGTCCGCCCCGCCTCACCCCGCCACTGGAACTATGATTTTCAATTATTAAAGAGGTTATGTGATGAAGGATCCAATTATTAAAGAGGTCCACGACGGCAAACACCGGCGATGAAGGCAAAAAAAAAATTGTCTCTGGTACAGCGTAAAGAAAAAGGAGGAGAGAGAAAATGTGTGGGAGAAAATGAAGAGAAAGAAATGGAGAAAAATTATTTATTTTATTTCGTAAATATGGACCGTTGGATTAGATTGTAATCAAACGGTAATGAAAGAGGTAGGCAATGATAGATAAAATGAGAGTTGGCAGAATCACCTGTCACTTTTCTTTGATAATAGATTGTTATTGTTGAGGGTAGTAAAAAAAAAGGATAGATTATTTTACCTATTTCTTTTTCTGCTTACCTTTGCCTACCATTCTAAAATATTATTAGATCATAATCTTAACTAACATTTATCTTTCTCTTTTCTTGAGATTCCAATCTATCAGTGTTGGAGAGTAGTAGGCAAAAATAGGCAGACAAAAAAATGATAAATAGAATAACGTATTTAAAAAATAAATATTTTTTTGAGAATATCGTGGGCTGTAAACGGGTTACCGATTAGGATCCACGACCCGAACCCATAAAGCACCTCTTCAACCCACGAACCTTCAGTCCTTCACATAGTTCAGACTTCAGAAAATCGAATCGATAAAGAACTGCAACGTGGCACCTCTGCAGTTGCTTCACTCTTTATTTTTTCCTCAATATTTTCTTCCCAACCAAACACTCCAACCACTGATACCACTAGTTTAAGGTAAAATCTTCTTTTTTTACCCCCAAATCTCAAATATATGATTTTGAAATTTTCATCAAACATTAGTCGTAGTAGTAGTTTGCGTTTTCGTTTTTCTGTGCTTTCACTTGGTTGCTAAGAAACATAAAGAAGAGTGAAGCAATCAGAAAAAAATAATTATAATTTCAATCCAAAATAGGAAGACCCATGATTTTTGTTTTTGTTTTTGTTTGGGTGCTAGTTTGTCTTACCCTTTTACTTGTATTTATACAAATTTATATCCTTTTTCGTTTTTATTTTTCAGGTTAAATTTTTTGCATTGCAATGCCGGATGTTCAGGTTCTTGTTAATGATTTTGTGAATCAGCTTAAAAAACGGTATTTTTTTTTTTTTTTTCCATTTCTTCATTGGCACTGTTAAGAGTTGAATGAATTGTTGGATTTGGGAACTACAGTGTCAGGTGTTATGAATAAGAACTAACATGTCCTTTCATCTGTGTGTGTATGGTTTTTTTTTAAAATTTTTTTTTTTAAAATTTTCTTCCTTTCTGTGTGGTGCTAGTAAACTTGAAGGTTCACAGGCCACGGCAAAGCAGACAGCAGAATTGCTTCGGTCTGTGATTTCGCAGCAGCGAGTGCCTCGCACGAACCAGGCTGCAGCTCTGATTGATGCTGTGAGGGCTGTCGGAGAGCATCTTATTGCTGCAAATCCTGTTGGTAAGCTAACATTTTGTGTTTTTTTTGTGGATATTATTCATCTTATTTGAGTCGGGTAGAACTACATGTACGGCAAAGCTCTCCCTACTAAGTTTGTAAGAACTTGGAACATTTTTATGTTTTGTATTTTCCCAACTTGTATAACCATGTATTTTGTCTTCAGTGTGTACAATAGTTTTATTGCAGTTGAATATGTATTAGGTTGGGGCCTAAGTTTTTTGCCTGATTGCCATGTTTTACTTTTGTTGAAGAATGGATTTTGGTCAAATGAACAATGTTTTATAAGGAATTATGGAGATTACTTTATTGTTTACCTATCGTAACATGTAGTCATGTACTGAATGTGATTGCAGAGCTAGCTGTGGGCAATGTTGTGAGGCGTGTTTTGCACATTATAAGGGAGGAGAATCTTTCCTTTGCGACAGCTGCTATTGCTGGTTTGGGACTTTCTGCAGCAAGTGATGACGAAGATGATTTGGAGCGAGATGATCATCCTGTTTTATCTGCTGCTGCTGTTGCAGCTGCTGCGAGAAGCACCTTGCGTCCACCGTCATTGCAAACACTTCTAGAGGATGTGCCTGATTTAACTGCTGTTCCACTCACATCTTCATCAGGGGGTGAATCTGAAGGAAAAAGCAAATGTGAGGATGATATGTGAATGTTATAACTTCTAGTTATAATGTTAACCATGATATTAGAATGCTTTATTGACATTACTAAATAATTTATTTGCTGAATACTTTGATTATTGTATAATATTTATTCTTTTTTGCTTTGCGGTGATGGTGATGAATTTGTAAGTAATGTTTTGATCTTCAAGACTTCAAGTGCATGTGCCTTTTGAGTAATAACAGCATTTTACCATTGTTACAGCTGTTGAAAAAGGTTCAGGTGGTCGGAAGCTAAAGCATGATGTTATTGAAGCAGTTAATGAACTTATTCAAGATATTGCCACTTGCTATGAACAAATAGCTGAGCAAGCAGTAGAGCACATTCATCACAAGTACTTTTCCCCTAAACTACTCTAGGAGATTATTGTAAATACTGTCAGATTCTCTTGCTAGTTTTAAGGTCCTTGTTACTTAAAAACATGTTAGTAGCAGTGATACTTTGCTTCCTAATAGCTCCAATTGATCTGTGACTGAAAAGCTTGCGTGGAAGTTTTTTTGTATTTACTTGTCGATTTATTTTATGCTACAATGTGGCCAGAATAATGCTGTTATATTTTGGAGTCAATGTATATTTCTCACTGCTGGTCATAATATGCATTGATGAAGAGATCCAACCCTTGAAATGGTTGGTTGTAAGCTTTTGTTTCTTAAGTAGTGCACTAGTTGCTGTTATATAGTGAAAATTACTTTTTGATTCATGACTATTTTCTAAATGGCTTAGGTTCTAATTGTGTAGACTAAATGTGTTATTGTGATTTGTTACAATTAAATACCAGTATGCATATGTTAAATGTACATTTCTTTCTTTCTGATTTTATTTGTTTTATTTTGATAGTGAGATCTTTGTTAGATGTAACTGAAATGGTCTTTTGTTTTCTATCTTTTTTGGGGTAAAATATGAGTTACTTCTGCCATCAATATTTTCCAAATTTCAGGTTGTTTCATTTCGCAAAGGATTTATGCACCTAAATAACTAAGTAAAGGGTCCAGACATTATCTTTTTGTGTTTTTCTTCCTTGCACCCTTTATATCTTAAATAAATCACTATCATGATTCAGTTGATTTATGTCTTGCAATTTGGATCTTGTTATTTTTTTATGTCAGAAAATCTAATTTCTGTTCTTAATTTCTTATTCATTTTCACTGCTATTTGCATGATTTTCAGTGAGGTAATATTAACACTAGGAAGTTCAAAAACAGTACTGGAATTTCTTTGTGCTGCAAAGGAAAAAAAGCGATCATTTCGGGTCTTTGTTGCTGAGGGTGCCCCAAGGTTAGTAACAGTGACTAGCTAACATTTGCAGGTGATGATGATGGTTTGTTAACAACACATTTTTATGATTCTTCTTAGGACCATTTTGTGCTGACTTTGTGTGTAATCAGGTATCAAGGGCATCTTCTTGCCAAAGAATTGGCAGCAAGAGGCTTACAGACCACTGTAATTACCGATTCTGCAGTTTTTGCTATGATATCCCGAGTGAACATGGTATGCGAAAATCCTAATGTAACATCTAGAATCAAGACTCTTATACTGAATGTAAATTGATTTTCAACTTAACATTATATAGGTTATCATTGGAGCTCATGCTGTCATGGCTAATGGTGGAGTTATTGCCCCAGTTGGGTTGAATATGCTCGCGCTTGCAGCTCAAAGGCATGCTGTTCCTTTTGTTGTACTTGCTGGGAGTCACAAGGTGAATTGTTAAAAATATTTTCTATATCTTCCATGCGTCTGTCATGTTCTAGCAAACAAAATTCCTTTGACTTTTGATGTCTGCTCATGATTTAATTATTTTTTCTTTTAAATCTGGAAATAGGATGACATTTTACTGCCAAACCTGTGTGAGGGGAAGTATGTGAATTTTTTTGTATGTGCATTAATAACTCATAAATTGAAGGCACTGGTTTATATGTATTTAATTTCCTATATACATTTGAATCTCTTTAATGAATGTGGGCTTAGAGTTTCAGATATGAGATATAACTAGCTGTTCAAGTTGGTTCAGATTGTCTTGACTGTAATGATGGGATTTGTAGAGTTTGGACACTTTGAATTTATTTATATTCTGTATGATGAAATTGAGGTACCTGCTTTTTAGTTATTGATTCAGTTAAGATATGTCCAGACTATGATAAAAATAATAACAAATAACGTGTTTCTATTAGCTTCTTGCTTACCCTTATTTTCTAGTAAGGCAGCGTTTAATGCCATAGCCTTACTATTGAATGAAATTGTGATCCACTTTGTAACTTCAGTTACCAACTGTTCTGTTTTTGTTCAAAGGCGCTTTATCTTTTTTGACAGTTGTGCCCTTTGTATCCGCACAATCCTGAAGTCTTATTGAATGAGCTTGGATCTCCATCTGAGCTGCTAGACTTTGGAGAATTCTCAGATTGCATGGATTCTTCGAGTGGCACTGGTTCTCTTCATGTTGTTAATCCTACCTTCGATTATGTGCCACCAAAGCTTGTTAGTCTCTTTATAACTGACACGTAAGTTGAACTCAGAAAACTATAGCTTTCCTTCATCATTGACTCTTGGAAGCAATTATATTCATTGTTTTTCTTTTTTGCATTTGTTGGTTTGGAAAATTTACTACTTCTTAGAGGAGGGCATAACCCTTCATATATGTACCGGCTCATAGCTGATTACTACTCTGCTGATGATTTGGTGGTGAAACGAAGACCTACAGGGAGTTGAGTCAGCTCCATTAATTTTTGTCCTATAATGGTAAGCATGTATATATTTGTATTAAGTACGTTAATCATTTGTGTCTATGTTCTAGTGTATAAGAGGACTAGGGAAAAGCAGTGGAGTGTGTTGTGTAAATTTTATTTCTTCACCCATCTAAGCTTATTTATAATATTTACTATAAATTGTCTGTTTTAGAGGAATAACATCTGTTCTAGTCATGAAATAATTACATTTGGGTGCTCAATTTTCAGATTTCATGATGAAGTTCTCTGATAAACCATGGACCTAGAGATGTGTTCAAGATCATTTGTGCTGAAGAAAATGAATCTTGCATAATACTGGGGATTGGTGTGGTTAAATTATCCTGGTGAAACCATATGAGAAAATATCAAGTGACAAAACTAGTGGGTGAGATTTAGCCATTTTCAATTTTGTGGTTGCTGATCAACAGGACCAATTACACCTAAGTCTTGAAGTTAGGTGCAATTTGCAATGGTGTTTGTGTACATGTTAACCAGTACTTTTTGTCACTTTTGAGATGTTCAATGTAGCCTATGACTGTTGTCGTCCTCAAGCATGCTGGAATAAATCTTTGGTGCTACTGCAGTATCAAGATTCGGTATACCTCATCAATGGGAACATTACATATTATAGGAGAGAGAAAAAATTTGGCAGAGAAAAGACAACTTTAGCTGAGATGTAATATTTCTATTGGTGGAATATACTGAATCTTTGGTGTAAGAGTAGTACCAAAGATTTATTAAGCATAGCCATGAACCTCGAAATATGTGAATTGAATTGCAGTTGTTATTGCACCTGTTGTTCCTCAAACTGTTGTACCATGCGAAAGTGCTGCTTCGTCATGATTATATTTTCAGCCTTTTGTGACAGATTAGAGGTATTTGGAGATTCGTATTTGTAATCAAGTTTTCTTGGTTTTTTAAAATATATACCAAAAAGGTAATAAAAATAAAAGAAATTGACAATTTTTTCCCTAACATAAGACCATAGTTCGGATGAATCCAATTAAGAACTAGTTAACTGATTTGTAAGCATATGATACTGTTGATCTTTTTTGATCTAACGGTTCTCAGATGAGGTACCAAATTTCAAATTTGACACGGTGTCAAAGGATCTTACCTTATATATATATATATATATATATATATATATATATATATATAATAGTTATCTATATTGTTATCTGTATCCCCTAGAGGTTTGTGAGGGCTACATCAATACTACAAGAAAATATAATTAAATAAAATTAATTTAATGGTACAATATATTGTTGAATTCCATAGTCTAAATGAGCAATATGATAATTGTTGTTTGCCCAATTAAGCTGGTTTAAATCTAATCATTAAGTGAAATTAACGGTTCTCATTTTATGTTACTGTGTAACTATTGATTTGATTTTGAACTAATAATAACAAAAGTAAAAAAAAAAATGATAATAAATATAACTTATCCTTTATAGTGTGTGTGTGTGTATATATATATATATATATATAATAATAATATTGTAAAGAGTTATATTATTTAATTTAATACTTCATTTGTTGTAATGTTACATAATAAAAGTTTTTCAATTTAAAACTTCAGTTTTTAGAACATTATTTGTTTTAAATATGAGATTCAATTTAAATATAATTCAAATTTAATTTTATAATATATTTGAAATATTAAAATTAATTTACAAATAAAAAAATATAATTTAATATTATGATGTCTAAATACATTGTTAAAGCTGTGCATAATAGCAAATTAGCAATATGAGCGGACATATATACTTTTAAAATAGAATTGAGATGTGTTGAAGAATTAATACATAGCATTAAAAACACAACTTTTCTTATGTATGGTGACTAAAATGCGTAACTAAAACATTTTATTCCCCATTTATCAAAAAAAAAAAAAAAAAACAAAAACACAAATTTTGTTTTACTCTCTTTTCATATATATTCTCTGCTATGAAAAAGAAACGATCAAATAAAGGTTTACGATTGTTTCATTAAAGTTGGCAGGGTGAAGTAAATAAGAAGCTTAACATTTCTCACTCACTGCATTGTGCAAGAGATGATAAGTTTTGTCCAAATCTCGCAACTTTTTGCATAATATCAAAATCAATGCAAATATACTTCAGAAAGCAAAAAGTCCTTTTATTAAAATAATATAATGAAGATTGATGAAGCCGTTTCATAAATCAATGCTTGGTACAATCTGTGGGCTTAAAGGAGACAATATTCTTTTTGAGGTCATAGCCAACCAAGAAGTTCTGTTGTGCTAAGAACCCAAAGATGCCAACGGGAATATCTTCGAAATCAATGAAAGCCAAGCATGCAACCTCATCAGACACGAATAGGAAGGTGTTGATAGCATTCAATTGAATGTTTGCACCTTTAAAATGTGCTGTGATTATAGGAACTTCTAGTTGTTCTGATGTAGTTTTGTAACAAAGGCTGAATTGATGATTAGGATCCTCAACACGTTTCAATTTAACAACATTTGCCACTGCTGATTCCAACTTAGTGTAAACATCATGAGGCAAATGAACCAACATTACACTTGAATCAATAACAATATTTCCCTCTTCAATAGAACCAGAGGAAGAACTTGCAAATTCTATTCTGTGGTTTCCAACACTAAATGCTTCCAAGGTTAACCAGTAACCAACAAGACCTAAACTGCTTTGGAAAAATGGAGTTGAGACTGTCTCATCACCAGAAACAACTGCATCATCACCAAAGTTAAGTTTGTTTGAGGAGTTTTTAGATTCTGATAACATTGGCAACAAACAGTAAGAGAATTTTCCACCTGCTGAAGAACCCAATTGAGATATAAGGGACATAGGTCCATTTCCAAGACCAACCACACTTGTGGTTTGTCCAAACATGGAAATCCCTGTATTTTTGTGCTCACACCCTATCACAGTTCTAGGAAATGAGATAGGAGAGCCATTAGTGGAGTTTAAGGTTAGTGTGTCTTTACTGACAACTCCTTGTGAGACATTGGGCTCCAAGAATTTGGGAAAAGTATAGGTGCAATTTTGTCCACTATCAGAAGAGCAAGATCTAAATGATAGAGATTGACATGTTGAAGAATTGCAAGGAATGGTTTTGTATGTTTTGGATTTTGAAGGATCGAATATTGGAATTGTTTTGTTGTAACAATTTTCACAAGGCTTGCATTTCAACAAAATATAGTCACTACCTGTATTGAAATCTCCAAAGAATTGGAGTGGTGGGGTCCCAATTGAATAGCTTATAAGGTATTCACCTACAACCGATTTTATAGTGGTTTGAACTGTGTTTGTTGGGACATAGGCTTGATTAGCATGATTGTTGGAACGAGTCACGGCATTGGCAACTCGCTCATAGTGAGTTTCTGTGGGACGGTAGAATGGTGATCTTGAAGAGTCACGGTGAATGAGATCAACACTAAAGCCACCGTTTATAGAATCAACAATAGAGGTGCCACAAATGCAAAGCAAAAGAGCAAGAGATGCATAATGAGCCAATGTTGCCATGGCTATGCACAGGTTTGAGCTAATAATCTTTTGCAAATAATTTTAAATTTGTTGCCACTAAGACATTCATATATAGCACCTTTTTATATCACTCAGTTGATTATGACGGAAGAATATTTTAATCATTGAATAAAATTTAGTACAGTGTATTCAAAATCTTTCAATTTTCCTTTTAAATCTTTACAAATTTGGAAATTTTGACTTGGATTTAATGGTTTTTGATTAAGATAAGGATTTCAAGATTGTGGATTTTGTCATGGGTTACAGTTTCGAGGTTCTGTAATTGCAGTTTCGAAGGTTGTTTTCTTTTACAATTCCTCCGTGAATAAAAATATAGAAAAATATTTATGCAATACAGATAAATTATCTGCATTTACTTTTAAAATAATATTATTTTAAATTTGAAAGATTAAAAAATTATAATTATAAAAATTATAATAACCTGAAATAAATTAAAATTTTAAAAATACTATAATTTCTGTATCAAAACGACGTAGTATTGAGATTACTGCAGATAACTTATCTGCAATAATCGCACAAAAAAACAAATCCATAAAAATAGTTTTTTTTTTTTAAGATTTCAGATTTTACCATAGGTTACAGTTTCGAGCTTCCCTTAAAGTTTTGGAGCTGTTTCTTTTGACAATTTCATGCATGAATTAAAACAAGGCTTTTACTTAAAATTTGAGATTTTGACATAGGTTACGGTTTTGAGGTTCTGTTGAAGTTTATGGGGCAGTTTCGTTTGACCATTACGTGCATCAATTATGTTTGCCTTATGTTGGAATTCAAAGTGCATTAATTGAATATTTCTATTGCCTTAATAATTATTAATATATCTTATCTCTATTGACTAATTCTTTTTCTTTTTTTTGTAATTACTATTGACTATTTCACTTCTTCTTAGTTGTCTCTCTTTTTCTCCACTCTCCCCTCTCTCTCTGTATAGAGGTATGATCTTTTGATATCAATGTCAAATTTGAAATTTGACACCTCGTCTAAGAGCCGTTAGATCAAAAAAGATCAATGACTCTGATTTATAAGCATGTGACACCATTGATCTTTTTTGATCTAACAACTCTCAAATGAGGTGTCAAACTTCAAATTTGACCTTATATATATATATATATATATATATATATATATATATATATATATATATATAGTTCTTTTGACTTCAGAGTAAGACTTAGAAGTGTTACTCCTCATTTCAGCCATTGATGGACGTAAATCAATGGTTGTCATTTGTAATATAATTAATAATTAATTAATTAGTATGACTTCCTAAACTATAACAGTTAGATAGACGGAAATCAACGGTTAAAATGGAGAGGAAGACCTATAAATCTTACTCTGGAGTCAAAATATCTCTCTCTTATATATATAGGGGAAAACATTTCTGCAGCCACTTTAGATAAGGTTGTTTACAGCTACCTTTTTAACTAAGTAGGACCGGTCGTACATTAAAAATGTATTTTCTCTCTCCGCCACGTCAGCCGACAGTGTCTGAGGAGAGAGAAAAAGAGAACAGCTTTATTGTTATAACTAAGTACGACCGGTCGTACTTAGTTAAAAAGGGTAATTGTAGATAACCTTATCTAAAGAGGCTGTAGAAATACTTTTCTCTCTCTATATATGTATATATAGGGTTTGTTTTTTCTAAAGTTACTTTAGATAACTTTATCTAATGTTCATCGAAACGACGTCGTTTTGGGGCGGAAATCATGGTGTTTTTGTAATTTTAATTTATTTCAGGGTTATAATAGTCTTTATCATTCTAATTTTTAATTTTTCGATCCCAAAACGACGTCGTTTCGATGAACATTAGATAAAGTTATCTAAAGTAACATTAGATACTTTTTTTCTATATATATATATAGAAAAGTATTTCTAAAGCCACTTTAGATAAGGTTAACTACACCCACCATTTTTAACTAAGTTCTCCCGGGAGAACATAGTTATAACATTAAAGTTACTTTTTTTTTTCTCTCTCCACGTCAGCAAACAAGTTCTGAAAAGTAACTGAGAAGAGAGAAAAAAAAAACTTTAATGTTAGAACTATGTTCTCCCGGGAGAACATAGTTAAAAATGGTGGCTGTAGATAAGCTTATCTAAAGTGGCTGTTGAAATGTTTTCCCCATATGTGTGTGTATGTGTATGTGTGTGTGTGATAAGATTCTTTGACACCGGTGTTAAACTTTGAAATTTGACATCAAATCTTAATCGTTAGATGTTGGACGGCCACACTTCATCACAACGTCAATTCAACACCACGAACCACCCTTGTGTTTTTCACATTTCTACGCTATTCATTCTATCCAATTTTAAATAACAATATCAACGAAAAAAACAAGATAAAAAACAAACACATAGGGAAGCAATTTTGTTCATTTAAGACACCAAACTCTAGAATACAGTACAAGAACCTCTGCGAATTTCTCTCTTTTCGTTTAATAGATTAT